CACAGGATTGTGGGATATCAAAGGCAGCGAAGGATGCATCTGTGCTGCCTTCAGAATTAGATCAGAAGAAGGTACCTCCGGAGACAGGAAGTAAAGCAGGATTTGGATTCGGACATGCCTTGATGCCTTCCTGCCTTGGAATGCTGACTCCGATGGCAGCATTTTAGAGCTTTCGGACGCAGCCAACATCTTCTCCACACTGATGCTCTCGTTTTCCGCAATATATGAATGAACAACGTAGTCGCATCTAGTGGGTTCAACTGGATAGGCTAACAAAAGTAGGGGTGCTCCGATTGATCGGCTACCGATCACTATCGGCCGATAATCACGTTGGGATGATTGATCGGCGGTCTCTAAAAAGGCCGATCTCAAGCTGATGACGCTGCCGTGAGAGGTTTGGCATGACATGCAGCCTGCACTATAAGCGAGCTGCAAGCTGCACAGTTGACACAGGAATTGTCACTTGCACAATTGAGGCAGTGTCGCATCGTCACTAAAGTTTATAAATTGCATTTCTTTTTCATTCTTGCCAGTGTTTAAACCATTCAGCGCTCGCGCGCTCTCCTGGAGACTATGCGCTCATGCACACTCGCAGCACACACACATAATGCCAGGTTGCAGTGCGTATGCGGTGCGTATTTTTTCCGCGCTCATGGCTTCAGAATTAGATCAGAAGAAGGTACCTCCGGAGACAGGAAGTAAAGCAGGATTTGGATTCGGACATGCCTTGATGCCTTCCTGCCTTGGAATGCTGACTCCGATGGCAGCATTTTAGAGCTTTCGGACGCAGCCAACATCTTCTCCACATTTTCCGCGCTCATGTTAACGGATTAATAAAGCGTGCACACTGCGCACGGTTGCGGTCCGGCAGTGCGTCCCAGGAGCGGTGCGTCTGCAGCAGTGCAGAGATCGTTTCCGCACAGAGACTATTTTTGCTGCGCTCCAAGCGCTAAATTAGTCTCCTGTGTTTCACAGTCAACACATAGGCTATGGCTTTTTGGCTAGGTTTAAAGGAAAAGAGCACTTTTACAGGGCTGTACGTTAACTTTTTTTGCACATAGCACTGGTGCTACAGAAGTAGGCCTAAATGCAAAAGTAAAAAGCATTGAATAATGTGTTTCTTATATTTATTGCGTTTAAACACGTCTATGAAAGATGGTATTATACTGTACTATGTAAAAAAAAAAATCACAATGCTGAAAAAGCATTTTAAGTAACAGTGTTTGGATTTGAAATCAAAATAATGGATAAATGTTGTGTTTGTGGTAAACAGCCACGGATCAGTAGCGGACTCCTGTGTGAAAGCACAATGAGTCCGTGCTGCTTCTG